CTGGCACGAGGCTCTAAAGATGCAGCTCGGTTGGAGGGTAGAAAGCACGGGGTCTGATCAGGGGCCTCAGGGAGAAAGGAGACATGCACTCGCCCCGGCATATATATGGGGTGACTGGGCTTTAATAGAAACGTTCTTTGTTCAGGGGAGTTCTGCAAATGGAGCATAAGGAATAAGGCAGAGCATTCAGTCTGTTCATTTGGTAAGTTGAGGAAGGGGCTCCCAGCCAGCAGGGAGATAGGCCAGGTCAGTCTGGGAAGAGCTGATCCCGTGTTCCCTCACTCCCTGGCCCCTCACACCCTGCACTGGCCGTGCTCAGGGGACAGGCAGTGCTCGCTGCAGCCCTGCAGAGATCCAGGCCACCTCTGAGATCCCATTGCAGCTACCTGTCCAGGCATGGCAGCAGGGGGAATGATGCAGCAGAGGCTTCATTCCAGGAACTGTGTTAGCAGGGCTCTAGTCCACACATTAGTCTCCTCCTAAGACTACGCAGCATTTAGATACTGCAGCGCTTTTACAGGGTCACACTAACCCCTGCTGTAAACTGTTTGCAGTCTGGTTTTGTTGCAGCCTTCTGAGGTAAAACACATATGCATCAGCTGCTCCAGTGGGGTCTCTGAAACCAGCCCAAAGCTGATGAGGTGCCAGTAACAGGGGATACAACCACAGCAGAGATGGGGGAGGAGCCAGCTGCAGAGCCGAACCTCAGGAGGAACTGCAGCATCCTAGCTCCTCTCCCTGCCTGTAAAGGAGCACAGGAGCAAGCAGCCAGATCCAGCTTCCCCCCAGGAGCAGCTCAATAAGGTCGCCTCCCCAAGCTCTTAGCTACCTTGGAGAAACCCAGAAGGGCAAACAAGCAAGCATGCAGATGAGAAAGCTGGGGACAGCAAAATCCTTTCTGTCCCAGAACAGGGTCACTCAGAGGAGTGGAATCCATGCTGTAAATGCCATTGTGATCTGCCTGCTGCAGTCTGAAGGAACAAGGTGAAAGGTTTGCTCTGCTTCACTGTAAGCAGGGCTTCCCTGCAGTTGGGATCACCTGGAGCCTCTCCCATCACTCTGGCTTGAACACTGGTGGGTGGTAGGCAGCTCCCCTTTTGCCGGTGTACCTAAACATCTTGGTCACGTTGGAGGGCAGGACTGGGTCAGCCACAGCTTGGCCGATGCCTTGGTGCAAATCCTGTCAACTACTTTTTTCTCTCGGTGCTTTGGATCCCTCCATCATGTAAAACACAGTAGATGATCCAGGTGCCTGGGAGCCAACTTCCAACATGCATATATATAACATGCAGGTGGTAAAGGCAAGGGGTACATTATTGCCACAGCCTCACTGGGCATACTCAACGGGTCTGATATTACCCCCCAGAGAAGTGAGACAGTGTCCCCTCCTTGTCCTGACTGCTCTGGGGTGAACAGGAAGGGGTGGAGGGGATCACTTGTGAAAAGGCACAAAGCCAGCAGAGATGCTCACAGTGAACGGGGCAGAGGCAGTAAAATGGGAGCATCACTGCCTGGGCTAACCTTCTTTAGGCATCTCCTGATATTGAGACCTGGCGAATCCTCTTCTAAAAGAAGCCACAAGGGGACAAACCTGCCCCGAACCCAAGTGGCTAAGTACGTGGACAGAAATATCTACACCAACTCCATCACCCCTATCTCTATGACCCTAAACTTTGAACACTGAACTCCTGAAGTCCTTCAAGCCCTACAGTCTTCTTGGCAACATCCCTGGCCACATCTATAGTCCCTCCACTTAACAAGTGTACCCAGGCCCCTCCCTTCCTGTGCCTCTTGCCTGCCTCTCCCAGCCTGAGGTCTTCATCCCCAGAACTCTAAGCCCAGGGCCACAGGGTTACATGCCATAGAGGTTGCCCCTACAGGGCTTAAAATGAATGAAAAGCCCCCTGAACAGTAGCCCAAAGGTCCAGGTAGCTCCTAAGGGCAAGCCTGTGGCAGCAGCTTGCAGAAGACTCGAGTGGGACTGCTTAACATCAATTATCATGGCTCTGCCCTGCAGATTTGCTTACATCATGAAACAGTTTAATATGCCTTGTCCCCTTTAACATCAGATCACCAGGACAAGGCAGGCGGGATGGCTACAGTCACTTCTGGGAACTGCCAGCACCTTCCAAAGCACTGGACAGATACGAACAACCCCCGCACAGGATGGTACCAGTAAATCCCCAAATCACGCTCTATTTGCCCAGATTCGGGGACTATCTGCCTTGAAGAAACAGCTGGCTTAGTCTCAGGTTGGCAGGGCTGCCAACTGCAGAGAAAAGAGGAAGACTAAGCATCTAGGAGCCAGGGAATCCTGCCAGCAGGCAGTTCCTGCAATAGTATCAAGGTCTCCATTTTACAAGCAATGTAGAAGAGGACTATTCATTCTATGGCATCCCACCTGAGCAGTAGAGACAAGAGAATTTTTAGCTTGTTCCCAGGCTTAGGAGCTTGTTTTGTGACTTTTCACATCCCCCCAGGCAGAAATCCATCTCTGAGTGATATTCAATTCAGCACTGGTAAGTGTTGGTGCATACATGTGATGCCAAGAGGAACCAGGGGCTCAGAGTGCACAGAAGCCCCTCTGAAGCCCACTCTGGCTTGCTTCTTACCTTGCTGGGGCTAGCTGGGCAGCACCTGAAGCCTTGCAGGGCTATGCCAAAATGGACAGGACAGGACAGGACAGGACAGAACTCTTT